AAAAAAAAAAAAAAAAAACCACCACCACACCACCAACCCTCAATTCTTAGCATTGCTGTGCTGATCAGAAGCTGCTGCTGACTCAGTGTTAAATGTAGCAGGTGATTTCTTCCATGGTTTTGGGGCCAGACTTTTCTGAACAAGCAATATGCTGACAAACAACCACAAAGTGTCAGGATGCTCCTGGGAATCTGATATGCCTCTACCCAAGTTCATTTGGAGAGAAAATAACACCACCACCACCACCACCACACCCCCCTCCCCCCCAAATCCTCCCATTTGTGTGCCTTTATTACCTGCCAGCTCTCGCTCTTCCCAGTCCTGAGCCCAGCTGTTCTGTCTTCACTTTGGATAACTCTGTCACTTGGGACCTTCCAGAGATGAACAGGATGGAGACATGAAAAGTTAGTGCCTGCCTATCAGGAGAAACACTTCTCTTGACAAAATTAGCTTTGAAATTTGGGTGGTCTAGTGAAGAAAAGTCTGTGGTGATTAAACATCTTGTGCTTTCTTTTTTATTTAGTCTGACTCTTAATGGCAATGGCCCAAAGCCACATCCTGAGCCATGATGAAATGAAGCCACACTGTCAGCTCCTCCCTTCAAAAATGGAGCACTGCGACACCAAGTAGTCGCAAGGAAGGTCTAATACCACAGGCGGTTTTGGAAATGCCGAAGTAAACTACTGACCTCAGGTTGAGCTTCAGTGTCGGGCATTTTGATGTCCAGCTGTGTGCAGCAGCTCGGGACGTTTTGTGCAGCAGGGAAACTTCTTTTCATTCCAGAAGCCTGGCTGGTTTGAGCCCGTGTTGTATAATTGGGGTGTGTGGGTGGAGGATATCCTATTTGCTGTGCACCGCACAAGCTTCACGTGCTCTCTCAACAGGCCTCTCTGTCTTAGGAAAGCTGGGTGGGCAGGAGGGTGAAAGGCAGGAAGGCCGTGTGGCTAACGGGATGCCTGGGCGATGGGTGCCTCGGGCACCTTTCTGCAGCTGACACCTTCCGAGTAGGAGGGTAGAAGTGGCGTAGTGAGAAGGTCAGTGGGGTTTGCTAAAGTAGAACTTTCCACTTCCTCAGAAACTTACGGGTAAGAGAGCTGAGCACCGGAGCAGAAAAATGGTTTCATTAGCCACCTAGGTGTGCGGCTAGCTGGCGCGTGTCCTGGGGTGGTAGATGGGTTTTACATGTGTGGCCTTAGCTGCTGAAGGACGCTCTCTGTGGAAGGATACTTATGCATTAGTGCTAATTTAGCCACCACTACAGTCTTCCTGTCACTGGCATTTCAGTGGTTTTTGCTCGCGGACAGGAAGGGCAAGATATGAGCCAAAACACGCTCG